GAGCAGGAATGGGCTCTGCAATGGGTCCAGGCTGTGGCACAAGAGATCCTGTGGCTTGGGTCATAAACCAGGCGGACCTTATGGTATTAGAGTTACCATACTGGGATGGGAAAAGAGGCCCACTGGGCCCTGTGAAATCTATGCTTTAGTAGAAGAACCTGGGGTTTTGGAGAAAAGTCAGCTGTCTGAAGAGGAGAACTAGTATCTTTTGAAAAAAAGTTCCTGGTGTGCTACTGAACTTTTGTAGAGATAGAGAGCTTGGCCATGGGAAATCAAATGATATTTGTAGCCAGAATTTTGCAGACTTTGCTCCCCATGATCTGGGTTCAATCAAACCTACCAAATCATAATGCCAGGTGGGCCCAGTGGTAATTGAGGCAGTGCATTGGGATTGGGCACAGCAGTGCCAAAGGGCATTGCACAGTAAACCGTATGAGCAGATGGCTCAGACCCCCATGTCATCCATACTGCATGCCACTTGCTCACTTCATACCCATGGCTTCCTGGGAGTCACTCGTGACAAGCTGATGGAGGAAGAAAAAGGCTGAGCATGGTTCACAGACGGTTCAGCTCAGCATGTGGATACAAATGAAAAACGGATGCCAATTGCTCTACAGGTCAACTCAGGGATGGCCTTGAAAAGGAGAAGTGAGGGGAAATCCTCTCAATGGATAGAGTTTGAGCAGTTTTCTCAAACTAGTCATCGACTTGTATACACAGAGAGGTGGCCTGAGGTTAAAATATATATGGACTCATAGATAGTGTTGAGTGGTCTGCATCATTGGGCAGGGGCCTGGAAAAACAAAGGTAAAAAAATCTGGGAGAAAGGGGTTCTGGGAGAGAGGCATGTGGATGAAACTATGAGGCAGGGCAGAGTATGTAAAGATGTGGTGCTAATCCCATCAGGGAATCTGGACATAAAGAATGACTAAGGTAACAAGAAGACTCAGCCAGTTGGCATCAGCCAGTTTCTGTTATTTGTCACCACAGTTCTGGGACAGTGAGAATATGAATGAAGTCATTATGGTAGCAGGAGTTTAGATGACACATGGCCCTGTAGCTGAATGTCCAACCTGCCAGTAACATAGCACCTTGTTGATCCCCGGCTATGGCATCATCCATCCATCTGGGAGACTAACCAGCCATTTGGTGGAAAGTACATGTTTGATTACATTGCATCTATTCTACTCTGAAAAGGGCAATGACTCACCTTAACTGGAGTAGACACACTTTCCAGGTATTTCTGACTCCAGTACCTTAGACAACACCATTATCTGAGAGCTTACAGAGTGTTCACTGGCACGAGTTGCCACATAACATCACTATAGACTGGAAGACACACTACAGGAAATGAGGTGCAGCACTGATCCTATCCTACTATCTACCTGTGTTATCCACAGGCTTCCAGGCTGATAGAGTAATGGAATGGCCTGCTGAAGACACAGTTAAGGCACCAGTTTGGAAAGAATATCCTACAAGAAAGAAATATTATCATCTAGGATTCAATATAGACCCTAAAGCAAATAATAAGTGATGCTGTATTCCCAATAGGTAAAATTCATAGATCCAGGTCAAAGGTGGAAGTAAAAGTTGCCCTACTTACCGTTACTCCTAGTGACCCACTTTGGGGATTTGTGCACATCAGGGCTGTATGGATTTAGAAATCCTGTTTCCCAGAGGAAGAATGCTTACCCCTTGCTTCCTAGAGGGAGTCTCATTAGTCCTCAACTGTGGCTGCAATCTATATCTTTAGACTTGCAGGCCAAGAAACTAACAGGCAAAGAGAGGAAGAGGTCACCATCCAGGTCAGGGTAATGGGGCCTGGTCAACAGAAGTGGGTGGAGCTGCTTTTACTCAATGCGGGTAGATAAGAATATGTTTGGCACCTGGGTGACCCTTTTGGGTGTCTCTTGACCCATTTTAATGGCAAATGGACAACAGTAGCAGCCATATCCTTGTCTTGAGAGGAGTATGAAGACCAGGGGCTGAACCTCTCAGGGATGAGAGCCGGGGTGAATCCTGAAGGCAAGCCACTTAGGCCAGCAGAGGCACGGGCTGAGGTTGAGGAAAATCTAGAATGAGTGTTCTAGGAATGGGGTGATAAGCGTCATTTATAACCTGAAGACCAGTTGCAGCTGTTGGGGGTGGCCACTGTTCATGCCACCAACCTTCTTGTAAGTTTCCTAAAGAAATGAGGCTCAACAGATTTCTGGATGAGTTTTCCAGAACTTTGTGTATAAGCAAGTGGATTTGAATGGCACAAGGGGTGGGTCATGGTGGAGATCATAGTGTGCTGCCCAAGTTTTTCCCTCCCAAGTCTAAAGTGCTTCTTCCCCAGCTGCTAGAAGTGTTGGCAGCCAATGCCTTTCAGCTGAATTTCCTCTCTGAGGCCTGCCCTCAGCTAAAAACAGCTGCCTTGCCCAGAGTTGTGTCCTCTTCCAGGAGCACCCTGCAGCCAGGACTGGTTCAGATAGGGGTATAAAAGCCTGGCCCTTGACCTCATTTGTGCTATCCCAGTTCTAAAGTTCCCTATGGGATTGCTGAGACCTGGGCTGCGATTGCATCACAGTATCAATTCTCCCTCTCATTAGTTCAGCTTCCCCGTACTCTCAGTGAACTCTGCATGAACATCTTCATCTAAGAGTATGCTTTCCAGAGAAATCAGTTGGTGACATCCCTGATTCCTGGTTAAGATCTGAGTGCCATCAGAAAACTCAAACACATCCAATATTTTGTGCCCACAGTTTTATACTCAAGGCCCTGTTGACGCTATTCCCAGTTGGAGGGGAATTTGGTTCGGGATTCCTTGAGAGAGGAATAGGGGATATGAGCAAATTCTGTTCAGCCGTTCACAAACAGAGGGTACCTCTTCCCTCTACTCCCCTTCTTGATCTCCTCATCAAGATTGACCTGAAACCTGAGGGTCTGTAATCCCAGTGAGCTATTCTGTGGCCATCCCATGCCTCCTGGACATGCTGACCTCTGGAGGTACATCGTGATTGAGGTTTAGGGCTGAAGTCTGCTAGGCTATAGGATAGGCAGAGAGGTTGTTTGTACTCAGAGTGAGGGCCAGTGATTGCCCTGAGTGGGAGCCCTTCTGTAGTAGATACAAAAAGCTCTCTGGTGGTTCTGGGGATCTGTGCTTCTTTTCGAGGGCCTCATAGAGAAATCTTCCAGAAATAGAGTCAGTGTGCCAGTTAGCCTGGCCCCTGTCTGACTTGGGCTTATGAGTGTAGAACCCTCTGACAACATTCCTTCCCTCCATGGGTGGAGCTAGTGATGCTTTCCAAGAAGTAGTGCTCTCAGAATAGGAGATCTTGGTGGGTCATTGGTCAGATCCCTTAAAAGATATTAATATATCCCTATTATGGATGGGGTAACTAAAGCCAAAAGTAACGCAGTGACGGAGACCATTTCTCTGTCCGGGATGAAACTGAAGTCATCTGCCTCCTAGATCAGTGCCCTTCCTGATGTCTCATTCTGTTCTTCATATTGCCTTGTGCCATTGCCACCACACAGTCCAAGGGGGACAGCCTTATGAATGGTGCCCCTGGGAGCTTTGCATGCAGTGACCCTGCTGGGCATGCATGACACAGTAGGCCACTGGCCCTTCAGATCAATGGCCTTAGACCATGCAGAGTTACACCAGCAGGGCTCCTGTGACCCTTTTCTACCCTTGGGGACATAGTTGGTCTCTGCATTCAGGTGCATGGGTAATGTAACCAATGGAAATGCAAGCTCACTGTGTATGCTGAAGGGGAATCCTGATTTAAGTTGCTTATACAGGAAAATGAGGGCCTGTCCATTTGACTGGAAGTTCTCAAGCTGGTAAAGTTAAGGTGTGAGTAAACAGTGAGAGAGAGAAGTTAATTTTCTGGGTGTAAGAAGCTAACCTTTAATTGCAGCTTTGGCATTTAGAAAGTTTCCATGTCACTGGTTCTACCTCTTCATCTACAAAATTTGGCATTCCACCCTGCCTCAGCCATTCTTGCAATTATCTTCTCCCTTCCCATCTACCAATGCCCCGGTTCCATACCCTCCATACACTGCAATAGAGAGCTAAGTGCTTCTCTTTTCTCCTCCCAATTCAGCCCATGGCCACCTGGTTGCCCTTCCTGAACCCCCTCATAGTGCGGTCATGGCACTTCTCTCCACTGAATCAAAACTTGCAATGCCTTCTATTCCTGGTGTGACCACATGCTCCAGTTTGCTTAAGACAGCGTTAATTTATATCTGTTGTTCCAGAATACTTATGAATAATACCAGTTTTCTGCTCTCCAAACTTGACTGGGAAGAATCATATGTTCACCTTACATGAAGCACAAACTCCGCACCTAGACAGCCTGGCCTCAAACTTCTTTCCAAATTTCCCCACCATTTCACATATACTCCAACACTGACACCTTTTGATGGGCTCCCACCCAACTGGATAAATGCACTATGATCATTCCTACTTCTTGGAATTTGCTCAAGCAACACCTTTTCTCCTCTACCTAGACTGAAATACCTCCAGCAAGGCCTGTTCACTTTGTGCATGCACAAAGACCTACTTTAAGCTCCACCATACCTGTAAAGTCTGCACCCCTAAACCTCTGGTAAAGGGTCATCTAGCCTTCCTCTGATTTCCCAATGTCTGTCATGTCTGCCTAGTCTGGGTTGGAAGACCGATGAGCAGGGTCAGGTAGAGGTAGATACTACAGGGCTGTTAAAATAGGTCCCAGGAGAGGCAAGCATGGGGTGGGGAAAAAAGGAATGGTGGCAAAGCTTGTGATGTTTTCGTGACTGATGTGTTGGGGTCTGGGAAATACTGTTGAAAATGGGAATAGAAGGCTGAAATGGGTTTGTCAGTTTCACCCTGCATTTCAATGAAGCCAAAAAGTCATTTCCCAGGGACACAGTTCCCACCCCCATAACCAAGCCCCTCCCGGCCACAATCACCTTAGTCCCCCTCAGCTCAGTGTGGATTTCCCGCAAAAAAATTACATCTAGTGACTATAATAAAATATGCACATACTTTATGTATTCCTAAAACAACATTTACTTCCATTTAATGAGTGACGCTTTGGGTTCACAGGAACAATGACATTTTTATACTAATCATCTTTGCCAGGACCTTTACAAGATTCCAGGGAGGAAGAGAGGAGAGGGGGAACATTGCCCGCTTGTGGCAGGGGATCGAACTGGGGGTTCCATGGGGTAAAGAATCTGCACAAAGCTTTACAGTTTAAAAATAACTGATATACATGGAGGATACATTTTAAAGCCTCAATAAATTAAATGCAATAGGTTTTTAAAAACATATATATATATATTAAATATAACCCATGCCCTTTGGACTGATAATGAGGTTACCTCAGAATGCATTGTAAGAAGGGAAAACAAATGAGGCAACACTCAGCCTCCGGTTTGGTTTCAAAAATGGTGATTATTTACAGCTTTGGAGTTGGAGATTTTCGGTCCAGATACTTCATGGAATCCTGCACCCACTTCTTCTTGGGGTCGGCACAGATATCCTTGGCCAGTTTGGTCTTGAAGCTGTGGGAGACAGAGAACGCAAGTGGAAGGATTGTTTTTGAAAATTCTGCCCATTTGACCCTAAATATTTAAGGACAATTTGCCACTCGACAAAGGGTTGCCATGGAGAGGAGGAAGGATGAAACTCCTGGGTTAGTTGCTGCTCTGGAAGGCCTAGTAAAACCATCTTTACTCTTAACTTGAAGAAATTGATATGACCACAGCAAGCTCCCAGGCAGGGAGCTGGGAGTGAACATTCACTTTGAAAATTAATGAATTGGACCAGAGGTCAAACTATCGGAGTCTATGACTCCCAGCAACTGTGACACAGTTCTTGACTCTGTGCCCTAGACATTAACTTTTTGTCTAAGGGAGGGTGAGCTTTATTTACTTACATCACAGCTTTCTGGGGACATTTGCCACTGATGATCCTTCTGTAGCTCTCCAGTCGCTGAAGGGGTATCTTCTTATTGGTCAGGGTAAAGCAGCAGGTGGTTGCAACAGAAGCTGAATTTTGGGGAAAAAAATACACAGAGAAAAAAACGAGCCACATGATGATACATATACATTTCCAAGCATGACTTTGTAAAGGAAGTTAGGAGAAAGCTAGAAATTGCGAGAGGTGGAGGGAGAATCCCTCTGCTCTGAAGTCCTATGCGTCTGGCGGATGCTGTCCTGTGTCTTCAGCATCCTCCCCTGTGCATTGAGGACTCATCATTACTGTTGAGGGGAAGGAAAAAGCTTGGTCAGTGTGACAAATGCTAGCTCTGTCATTATAAAGACCTACGTGGCCATGGGATGGTCATGGTAATTTTCACCAAATATTCTCCATCCTTAGTTGTGAGACACAGGATAGACTCGCATTTCTTGACAACTTTTGTTTGTTGGAGGCATTAATTCGTTTTGATCAATAAGGGAGGAGACAAAGTGATGGGTGTCATTTCTGAGCCACAGTGCATTGCCTATGCAAGACTCCTGAGAGTCTTATCACTTATCACAGTATCCATCAATGTTCCCTGTCATGGGCAACTTCTCCATCAGTCTAGAGTCCTGAGTATAAAATGCAGAAGCCTGAGCCTATACATTATAGATATTTAGTAGAAGTGAGAAGGTAACTTTGTTAATTTAGTTAATTCTGTTAAGTCATTGATAATTTAGAACTGTTTGTTACCATGCCATGCACTGGCTCAGGGGGACTGACACACTCAGTAAATTTGTCACCAGAGTATGGGAAAATGAGTTATGGAACAAATCTCCTAGATAACTTTCCCAAACAGTGTCAAAATAAGTCACCTCAAGAGATCCCCCTGGGACCTCATTCTTCTCTTAGGCACTGGCTCTGAAAGCTGTCCTGGAGTTGAATTAACATATTGAGCTTCTAATCAACAGATTTTCCTTCTCCCCCACTGCCAAAAATGCCCACCATGTCCACAGTAAGAAAGAGCTATTCTTTAGAGTGCCCCATTCTCAAACACTGTAAGGATAGCTGGATATGGATGCACTCAGCATCCCTCTTGAATGTGGGGAACAGCCTTGGGAGCCTGGGCTTCTAGTTCTGGCTCTTCCAGTGACTGGATGTGAGGATGAGTCATTTCTTGTCCACCCACAAAACCCATTTCCCTATTTTTCGGATGGAGAATTTGCAGTGAGTCTCTAAAGATTCTTGCTGACCTGGTAGCTCTAAAGGTGGTTACCTTTCCCATAAGGAGTTGGGGGGCTTACCTGGCCCAGTGAGCCCCTGGGGGCTGAACGCAGCTGCTACGAGCAGCAGCCACAGAAGTGTTGCGGAGACCTTCATGTTGGAGGCCGAAGGTGTGAGATTCGGCGTGAGAAGTGGTGGTTTCTGGGTTGGTCTCAGCCTCTCTGCTCCTCTGGCTCATCTGCCTGCCTTTTATAGGGAGCAGACTGTGAGGGAGCTTCCAGGGAAGTCTTTGCCTATGCAGGGTCATGATGAAGGAGTTTCTGGATTGCTGACAAAATTCCAGATCCTAGGAGGTCACGCAGAACAGAAGAGAGGCAAGCTAGTGGGAGGGACTTGGTGCATTTTTTAATCCATCTGGATCTTGCTGTTGGAAAGGAGGGGAATATGTGATTATGAAAAGAAGTTACACATCTGTATTGAGTGAAGGGAGCAAGAAAACCAAGGGCCGGGGGGATATGTTGAAATTAAACACCTGTAGTGGTGGAAAGGAGCAAGAAAACCAAGGGCCTGGGGGTTGATCTAAGAACCTTCTTTGATTCCTGTGTTCACATGGTCTTGAGGATTTTGGAGACCAGTAAGGAGCCCCAAAACTTCCACTAGGCTCCCACCCAGATGCAGAGAGAGCTCAGTAGCCCTGCACATGGTTGCATCTCTGAAACAGGAAGGACAACACACCACAGCTTAGATGCTGTGTTTTAGTGGAGTGATCATAGAATCTTAGTGCCCTGCAATTTTAGCTTGACAGGACATCAGAACTGGATAGTTTCTATTAATCTTGACTTCTGGGGCACTTTTAAACCATTTGCTTAGCTGCTGAAGCCCTTTTCCAAATGGAATTAAAACAAACCCCAACTCATCAAATACGCTGTAGTGAAGGGGATTTGTCTGAAACAGAATAGGCAGCCTCCTGTGCCCTTATTTCCCAGAGAACACATTTAGGGAACACATTTGGAAAATCAGTTATCTAGTTTCCCCCTTACTATCTGGGCACACATTGCAGACAAGGTATCTGATGGCTAAAAATATCAAAAATTGAGGGGACACAAGAACCCATACCTATCCCTTTGTTCATAACACTAGGCACCCTAGTTGGAGAGGGTGTAAGGGAGGCATAGTCTTTAATGGAGCCACTGCAGTGGATGACAGCATTGAAAACCGATGTGGAGGTACTGCAAACCTGTTTCCTGTTTTTTTCCTGCACACTCTCATATCAAAATGATTGATTGGTACAGGAGAACAAACAAGAATGTTAAAGATTCTGAGGAGTTGCCTTGCGTTAGTTAAATACTGTGTTGTGGTTGACTGGTGATGTCTGTCATGGGCACAGGATGACAGAGGGCTTTTGCTGTTCCACAAAGTCTCTAAGTGCCCATCCAGGATAATGGGTCTATAATTACCTAAAAACGTAATTACCAAATAGAGGCCAAAAACGTTGAGTCTTCCTTGTTCTTTCCTGCTCTATTCCAGATGGGTTAGTCTAATGTAGAGTCTGAATCCAAGATGTCTGCATTTGGATGACGACTCTGTGACTGACTAGCTGTGATACCATGGACAACTTACTTAATCAGTCTCTGCTAGGGTAAGAGCAGGATACTAATCATGTGTACTTTAGGGAATTGTAGTGTGAATTAAATGAGTTCATGAATCTAAAGTGCTTAGAAGAATGATTAGATCACTATAGATATTCAGTGAGTAGAAGTTACTATTTTTTATTATTAGGAAATAGCCCTGGGTACAGTGGCTCACACTTGTAATTCCAGCACTTTGGGAGACTGAGGCGGGCAGATCACTTGAGGTCAGGAGTTCAAGACCAGCCTGGCCAACATGGTGAAAACCTGTCTCTACTAAAAATACAAAAAATTACCTGGGCATGGTGGAAGGTGCCTGTAGTCTCAGCTACTCAGGAAGCTGAGGCACGAGAATTGCTTGAACACAGGAGATGAAGGTTACAGTGGGCAGAGATCATGCTACTGCACTCCAACCTGGGCAACAGAGTGAGACTCCATCTCAAAATAAAATAAAAATAAAATAAAATAAAATAAAATAAAATAAAAATAAAGAAGGGCAGATTGGGAATGCTGGAAAGACCTCAGAGTCTGGATATTTCTCCAAATATTCTTCCAAGTTTTCCCACTGCTTCCAAGTAAAAGCAGGCTACCCCAGAGATGGTTTCCAAGAATGCCTGAGTTGCACATGTGGCAGATATGAGGTTTTTAAAAATGTGTCAACAGAATAAATTTGGAGTATTCTTGACCTCAGAGGAGTTTGTCTGACGTGGTTCAATGATTGTTTCTGTAGTAAGAATGATTTCATAACGCTGGTGGGAATTTAAAGGACTTTATTTAAAGGACTTTATCAGCAATCCATTATTCATTTTTATGTTTTCCTCAAAAAATGGCTTTGGAGTTAATGGGCTTTGGATTTGCTCTGAACCTGAAAAACCTCAGTGGCTCAGTGGAAATAAATAAAATCAATCTTTAGACATCCAAGCTGTGCAGCTGTTTCATCCAGCTCACTGACCATCTCTAGCAAGGAGGGGCCGCTTCAAGGGCTTTTTCTCTTCCTTTCTTGGAGGCTTCCTTTTCAGCAGGGACCTAGAGTAAATCCATTTCTTGCCTGTGATTTGGTGCCTGATGAATGAGGGGCCTTGATCAGGAGTGATCCTGAGTGATGGGCAGGAAATGGATCCCCCTTGTGAAAACAAAATCTTGACTTCTAAAGAGTTTTTCTTTTTTTTTTTTATTGGAAAAGGTATCTTTTATTTTTATTATTCTACTTTAAGTTCTGGGATACACGTGCAGAACGTGCAGGTTTGTTACATAGGTATACATGTGCCATGGTGGTTTGCTGCACCCATCAACTCATCATCTACATTAGGTATTTGTCCTAATGCTATCCCTCCCCTTGCCTGCCATGCACCGACAGGCCCTGGTGTTTGATGTTCCCCTCCCTGTGTACATGTGTTCTGATTGTTTAACTCCCACTTACGAGTGAGAGCATGTGGAGTTTGGCTTTCTGTTCCTGTGTTAGTTTGCTGAGAGTGATGGTTTCCAGCTTCATCCATGTCCCTGCAAAGGACATGAACTCAGTCTTTTGTATAGCTGCATAGTACTCCATGGTGTATATGTGCCACATTTTCTTTATCCAGTCTGTTATTGATGGGCATTTGGGTTGAATGCTTTGCTATTGCAAATAGTGCTGCAATAAACATATGTGTGCATGTTTCTTTATAGTAGAATGATTTATAATCCTTTGGTATATACCCGGTAATGGAATTGCTGGGTCAAATGGTATTTCTGGTTTTAGATCCTTGAGGAATTGCCATACTGTCTTCCACAATGGTTGAACTAATTTACACTCCCACCAACAGTGTAAAAGTGTTCCTATTTTTCCACATCCTCTCCAGCATCTGTTGTTTCCTGACTTTTTAATGATCACCATTCTAACTGGCATGAGATGGTATCTCATTGTGGTTTTGATTTGCATTTTTGTAATGATCAGTGATGATGAGCGTTTTTTCGTATGTTTGTTGGTCACATAAATGTCTTCTTTTGAGAAGTGTCTGTTCATATCCTTTGCCCAGTTTTTGATGGGGTTGTTTGTTTTTTCTTGTAAATTTTTTTAAGTTTCCTTGTAGATTCTGGATATTGGCCCTTTGTTGGGTGGATAGATTGCAAAAATTTTCTCCCATTCTTTAGGTTGCCTTTTCTCTCTGATGATACTTTCTTTTGCTGTGCAGAAGCTCTTTAGTTTAATTAGATCCCACTAGTCAATTTAGGCTTTTGTTGCCATTGCTTTTGGTGTTTTAGTCATGAAGACTTTGCCCATGCCTATATATTGAATGTTATTGCCTAGGTTTTCTTCTAGGGTTTTTATGGTTTTATGTCTTACCATAAGTCTTTAATCCATCTTGAGTTAATTTTTGTCTAAGGTGTAAGGAAGGGGTCCAGTTTCAGTTTTCTGTATATTGCTAGCCAGTTTTCCCAACACTATTTATTAAACAGGGAGCCCTTTCCCCATTGCTTGTTTTTGTCAGATTTGTCAAAGATCAGATGGTTGTAGATTTGTGGTGTTATTTCTGAGGCCTCTGTTCTGTTCCATTGGTCTATGTATCTGTTTTGGTACCAGTACCATGCTGTTTTTGTTATTGTAGCCTTGTAGTATAGTTTGAAGTCAGGTAGCATGATGCCTCCAGCTTTCATCTTTTCGCTTAGGATTGTCTTGCCTATGTGGACCCTTTTTTGGTTTCATATAAAATTTAGAGTAGTTTTTTCTAATTCTGTGAAGAAAGTCAGTGGTAGCTTGATGGGAATAGCACTGAATCTGTAAATTACTTTGGTCTGTATGGCCATTTTTGCAATATTAATTCTCCCTATCCATGAGCATGGAATGTGTTCCCATTTGTGTCCTCTCTTATTTCCTTGAGCAGTGGTTTGTAATTCTCTTCTCCTTGAATGGTTCCTTCACATCTCTTGTTGTAAGTTGTATTCCTAGGTATTTTATTCTCTTTGTAGCAATTGTGAATGGGCGTTCACTCATGATTTGGCTCTCTGTTTGCCTATTATCGGTGTATAGGAATGCTTGTGACTTTTGCACATTGATGTTGTATCCTGAGACTTCGCTGAAGTTGCTTATGAGCTTAAGGAGTTTTTGGGCTGAGACAATGGGGTTTTCTAAATATACAATCATGTCAACTGCAAACAGAGACAATTTGACTTCCTCTCTTCCTATTTGAATACCTTTATTTCTCTCTCTTGCTTGATTGCCCTCACCAGAACTTCCAATACAATGTTGAATAGGAGTGGTGAGAGAGAACATCCTTGTCTTGCACTGGTTTTCAAAGGGAATGCTTCCAGCTTTTGCCTATTCAGTATGATATTGGCTGTGAGTTTGTCATAAATAGCTCTTATAAGTTTGAGATATGTTCCATCAATACCTAGTTTATTGAGTGTTTTTAACATAAAGGGGTGTTGAATTTTATTGAAGGCCTTTTCTGCATCTATTGAGATAATCATGTGGTTTTTGTCATTGGTTCTGTTTATGTGATGTATTATGTTTATTAATTTGCATATGTTGAAACAGACTTGCATCCCAGGGAGGAAGTTGACTCAATTGTGGTGGATAACCTTTTTGATGTGCTGCTGGATTCGGTTTGCCAGTATTTTATTGAGGATTTTCGCATCAATGTTCATCAGGAATATTGGCCTGAATTTTCTTTTTCTGTTGTGTCTCTGCCA